GGAGCTGTCGCGCAGCGTCGCGGATCGTGCAGACGCCATGGAAGATGCAGATGTCGCAGCCATTTTCATCCAGCTGCCTGAGGCTGACGAGGTTCGCGTTGAGCTTGGGGATGTAGTACACCCCTATGAGCGCCCGATGTTCACTGTTCCTGCACTCAAAGATGATTTTGCCTTGGCCCTCAATGGCGACCACCGAGCCGTCGCCAAAACAGACCTTGCCGCGCACCACCGTGTCGAGCTCGGAGAAGATGTCATGCACGCCAGTCATGTGGTTAGTCGCGCCGGTGTCGAGATGCCAAACACCAGCGTCGACATCGCAGTGCAGGTGTGTGAACACCTTGGGCTCAACGAGGTTGAGCGGTTCAGTTGAAGGTGGGAGCGATGGTGGAGGTGGCGCCAGCTCAACCGCGTGAGCCATCAGCAGCGCCAGCTCATCATCTTCCTCCTCACCTTGTGCGACGTGTGCCGCGACTTGTTTCTTGGGCTGGCAGCAGTCCTTCGCCCAGTGACCGAGGCGGCCACAGTTCTTGCACTTGTCACGCCCTTGATCGCGCGTGTAACGCGCACCGCGCTCGCCATCGGCAGTGCCCTCGGTTTTCTTTCGCCCATCGCGGTGTCGGCGGTTGTTACCCGCCTTCTTGCGCGACGATCCCTCGCCGGACTGCCGTTCCTTGGCGCGAGCGGCCCATTGTTCTTCCGTGATATACAGTTTGTCGCCCTCATCGCCGGACTTCTTCTTGGGACGGCGCTCCTCGGCGTTCCTCAGACGCCCCGTCAGCTTCTCGAGCGACAGGGTATCAAGGTCGAGCAGTCTCGATGGACAAGGCAATCTGCTCAAGATGTTCAGGAACAACATGAAGAAATTTTTCATGGACCTTTGATTCCTCAAGCTGGATCCCAAGTACGGCAAGGTTGTTGACAAGCCCACTCAGCCGGACGGAGAATTCCTCCACGGACTCCCCTTCCTTGAACTCGATCGCATTGAACTGCTTGCGCAGCTCCTGCGCTTTCGACTTGCGGACGCGGTCGACGCCGACGCGCATCGTCTTGATGGCATCCCAGGCGTCTTTCGCCGTCTCCTTGACAGAGAGCACCGGCAGCAGATCAGCGGGGACCACCTTGAGGACGGCCTCCAACGCCATCCTGTCCTCCTGGAAGTTGACGTCACCCGTGTCGACAGCTTCCCAGAGGCCACGCACCTGGAGCATCGCCCTCATCAAGAGGGACCAATCACTGTAGTTCGTCTTCGTGAGGATCGAATAGTTGGCTGAGCCCCCCACCTCCTTGACCACGCGCCTGACTGGACCCAAGTGCCAGGCGTCGCCAGGCCGACGACGACCACGGCGCAGAGGAGGCGAGCGGGATTGATGACGCGGCGATCGCGAGACTCGCGGCGTCGGAGCCGACATGGCTCTGATACCAGATGTTGGCAAAACTCAGGATCAAACTACACACGAACCCTTGGAAATCGACAATGCTTGACGATGAACAGTGGAAGAGAAGAACACACGCGAGAAGTTTTTGTGCCGCCAAACTTATGCAGCTTTTCCGTGTATTTCATCACCATCTATTCTATTATATACTAAAAGTCCATGAAACTTCCTATAAACACTCCTAAGTCGCCACGTGGCATCCTAGAAACACTCCTAACCCGACACGTGGCACTCTAACAAATAACCGTTGATTTTCATTAAATTTGGTGGACCCATTATTTACAACCATTAGATTTATCTTAAACACCCAATCTTGGGCCCACCTAGCATGTACAAACGTGCGTACGTACGTAGATGTCACGTACGACTAACTATTATATATGAAAAAAAATATATATCTCAGATATTATTATTTTTATTATGTTGTGATATGTTATCCGTAGCGCACATATATCATGTGTCTCCCCTTCTCTCTACTTTCTATTTTATAGCAAGCAATTCAAGGTAAACATGATGAGTCTGATTTAATTTATAGTTAAGCAAATAATTTTAGATCAATAAAATCCAAACATTTCTAAGTAAAATGCAGAACCTCATATAATTGATTTACACTTAAACCGTTGAGCCTATTATTTTTGACGATTAGATTAGGATTTTTAAACTAATTAATCCTTCACGGCTAATCTCTGCCCTAATTTAAGATTAAAAAATAAAAAAGTTGTGAAAAAAAGCAAAATATCACACCAACAATTTACACTTAAATCGATGAACCTATTATTTTTAACCATTATAAATTTAACTAATCATTCTGTCCTAATCTCATAGGTACTTACCTAATTATGATATTTGATTCATATTTCACCCGTCTTCCTAGATTAACTCTTCCTTCTCATATTTTTATGCTTTATTAGTTAGAAAGCAAAATCTTCTATTATATACTAAAAGTCCATTATATTTCTTATAAACACTCCTAAATCACCATGTGACATCATATAAATGCTTCTAAACCGCCACATGGCGTTCTAATAAACCGGTGGACCCACTATTTGTTTAATAAATCGTTAGATCCACTATTTTCAACTATTATATTTATCTTTATAAAATAAGAACAAAACAATAAAGATGACAATATATATTATAAAGTAAATTTCACACACCTACATAGATATATCTATCTATTACATACTAAAAGCACTCTTGAACTGCCACGTGATATTCCTAGAAACGCTCCTAAGATGACATAGAACGCTCTAATTAATTCCTAGAAAAGCTATGTAAAAAAGGAGAACATCTAACTATTGGTTTTATTTAATCTGGTGAATCTAATTTTTTTACCATCAAATACCGTTAGATTTATCTTTAGGAAAAAAAACTAAACATCAATCTGGCGGTACGAGTCCGCCCAACGCACGTACGTGCTTCCATCCACACATATGAGAAGAGTATGCGTGCTTTTTCCTTGCTCACTTCCCTTTTTTTCTCTAAGGTAATTAAGTTAGCTTAAGGGTATCTAATATCTTATATATTAGTAACTTAATTTCATCACACTCCAAAGACTGCATGCACTTGCAAATATAGACATAGATAATATCCCTCATACATATTGATCTTGCGATGTTTTATAAATAAATAAAAAAATTCTTCAATAGCTGTAAATTTTAAATTATATATTCAATTTATGATCTGTTTGAACCATTGTATTTTTTAGTTAATCAATAGTTTAAAATCTATACCAACTATATTTAATTGCTAATAAAATTATTGTATTATGGACCCACATCCATATGAAAAAAATCCTAAGAGTTCTCATTAAAAATCAAAATATCCACCTTTTTCTGATAAAATCAATGGACCCATACCTATAAACCATTAACCTTAATTATAGCATCAATGGACCTTTTGACTCTCAACCAACTTAATTATATCTCTCAACATGAACGTTCGCGATGCTTTTATAAAGATATGATATTCTTTAACATGTATGTGGAGGCTATTTACTTAATCGCGATGCTTTTATAAAGATATGATATTCTTTTAAGGATAAATGCACGAGATGTTGTGCTGTGTTCGGTGTCGAGTGTTGGAAAACCTTAATCCCTTGGTAGTCGGACATTAACTCATAGCCCAAAATACCTATATCACAGAATTATCGGGAATGCTATCTCACGTTGCTCAAATCCAACTAATACACCAAGAAAAGAAGAAGGGGAGAGGGGGTCTGTAGAGTTGTCCTTACGGATATTCTACTAATAAAAATTGATTTCACATACTTATTTGTGCTTATTAAATTATCTAATCACTAGAACAAAGCAACATACTGTCCATGGAGTGAACAAATTGGAGAGCTAGCCGGTGCATCCCGGTGTGCATGCATGTTGGGTGTAGAATATTTTTCTCAGATAAAAAGAGGGGCATAAGATAGTTACATGTATTATGCATATACATGTAGGGCATGTTTTTTTTTTCTTCTTGGTATGATGATGCGAGCATGCCGCCGGAGGGACGAATTAACATATCCACCGTCTGTGGTGAGGGAAGACGAATAATTTGGTTAGTTGGACCGTGCACAATATGTTAGATCATATGAATATCCAATGGTTAGAAATAATGGTCTACCAAACCAAGTAAAAGTTGAGGGTATCCTGTGCACAATATTTTATTTTTTCTCATAACTTTTACTATTTTATCTAATTTGTATCACTATACTGGACACATATTCTTAATTTCCTATGAGTAATTATCCATAGCTATGACCAATCGATGTATGCCATCAAATAATAAATTAATTATCAATTTTCTGTTAATTATATATGCTTATATATGTAATGTCTTTATAACTTAAGTTTTCTCTCTTTCCCTATGAAACTTCAAGAGTCATATCTCTTAGGTATCATAAGTTGCTAACCCTAATCTCCAGTAGGTAATTTTATATATAACAATTAAATTCATCATGCAATACTAACGAAGAAAATTCATGAAAAAAAAACCACAATTTTGAAACGTTGTAGAAATTATTTCGCTGGTATACCGCCGTTATAAGTTTCTCAAATTTATCCTACGTATGGTACATGCCCGCGCGAATGCGCGGGCTACCTTTCTAGTTTATACAAAGCGAAAACGAGATCATGCGATCATGTAGATCGTGTCTCCGACTCTGTGCACTCCCATGAAGTCCATTTGCGCATGTGCCATCCCACACGGCGAAGAACGTGAGCGTACGACTCGCTACACTACGCCTCATCGTGAACACGCACGATTCCGGCTTTACAGGACGCAGCTCGATCCTTAACAACCAAGCCTCAAAAAACGGAAATAAAACAGACTCTAACAAACACCTTGCATGCAACGAACAGTGCACGGTATGGTGAGGAAGAAACAGAGCTCCTGAAACAGTGCTCCATAGCGCCAGCTTATATCATCAAGTCTAACAGCCCCTAGTGCCATCAGCCGGCAGGGCAACATAGTGTCGCACAAATCTTTGACCCAAAGTGTTAAGAATAATACGATTATTGATGGAAGCAATCTTAGTTTCCTGAAGACAGACAAGAGTGGCACCATATTGTTGCAAAATAACTTTCACTGCATCTTGCTTCGCCTTGGAATTCAGAACCCTTACATTCCAGTTAAACAAGTAAACATTGTCTTGTGACATGGGCACAGAAGCTGCTGCAACTACTACTCTAGTTGATGGTGAAAGTAACAAGGCCTTTCTTGAAACACAACCAGCAAAGCTGGGAGAAGCACAGGCAGAGGAAGACAAAACATCTTTGACTGGAACTAACATGCAGAGATGACAGTAGGAAGACAAGCTAATTTGATGAGGGGTGGGACTCTTCATGGCCAATGCAGGGTACTTCTTCAGGATGCAGCGCGCTCACAGGGGCGCGATCGCTGCCTTCTTTCTTGCTGCCTTCAGGCGGATGCTCTTGCATCCTCCCTTCTCCGCCAGCTCAGTGATTGTCTTCAAGAAGGAGGGGGACAACGGTTTCTTGTAGCGCTGCAAGTAAATCTTTTTGATGTTATCATCAAAGGAAGCATGATCATCAATTATACCAAACTTTTTTGACATGATCTCTTGAGCAAAAGTTTCAAGTTTTGCTCCCGCCCGCCTCATGCCAAGCAGGCGTTCGCTATGACATTGTGCCGAGGAAATTGCAGGTATTGTCACTTTCACGTGGCTTGGATGGCGAGCATTTGCGTCCAGAGCAGGCAGGAGCGGCGGCTGAAGCGGAATCGAGAGGGTGTCAATGAACTCTTCCACATTGTTCACCTGGCTTACCAGCAATGCAGCTTGAGCTTGATTGTTCACCTGTCCTGCCACCGACGCCCCATGAACTTGAGTCACCTGTTCTGCAAAAGAGGAAAATACGAAAACAGGGGAAACAGCACGGAGGGAATTTGTGTCCGGCGAGTAGATGGAGTACTGCACCGCCGCCTCGTGCAGCATTGGGTCAAGGTGGCTCTCCGGGAGGGTAAGAACATCCTCCTGCCCCTGCGAACAGAAGCAGTTGTCAGCTTGAAGAACAGCCTGGTCCGGGATGGCAAGGTTGACGGAGAAGGTAGCAGTGGCGTCCCCGTCCGGGCTCGGTTTGCGGACCGAGCTTGGTTGCTTGCATGGAGAGGCAAGCCGATTGGGAGAGGGTAGAAGGGTGTCTGAGGCAGGATTGTTCTGAGAGGTGAAGGATGAAGAGAGAGGTGGTCTCACCTTGCTTGGCTCTCGGGAACGGCCGCTTCTGCTACGTGGATCAGAGCGCTCCCGGTTGCGCGAGCGCCCCCTGGCCATCTCTCCTTTCTGGCTCCCTGCTGTGACTTGAGGACAGGCGCCCGAGCCAATCCCACACAGAGCGGCTCTTGTGACGACTCCTGCGCTGCCTGTCCCTGTCCTTGTCTTCATCATCATCTGTTGGCCCCTGCATGCTTGTGTCTTCAACCCTCGGCGCTTGCAGAAAATTCTGGACTCTAATTTGCATTAAAAACTAACAACACGCATGCATGTATATAATTAATCATCAAAACCATATAGTTAATAGCCAAACAACTTTAAACCATTTGTTTTCTATTCGGCTAATTACTCAATTAATAACCAAATTAAACCTATATTTTAGATTTGGCTATCAACCCAAACTTTTAAATTATATGAAAAAGATTTTTAGTTTGCCTTTTTCTTAAATAAAATGAGGGTACTACAAGTACAATACCTTGGGAGGTATATATATAATCCTTCTGGCCTTTGTAATCTTGCAGTGGAAGCAACAAGGATAGTTCGATCGAGTTGTATCGCGAAACGGGAAGAAAACAAAAGAGAAGAAGGAAAACGAGGCCAGAACCAAATTAAACCAATAGCAAAGCATCAACGTATTCACGATGCCTTGCGAATGAAGACACTTGTGAACAATATATCTGTGCTGCTTTAATTTCCCATCGAGAATTTGTTCGTTTCTTTCTTCCTTCTGCATTACGTTGATTCTTTCTTGGCAGCAATTTTAATCCTGTCTTGCCCTACTAACACTAGATAGTCAAAATCTATTATCCCTTTTTAATTTTCTTCTTACAAAACAAAACGTATATTCACCCATCCCTCTTCCCGATCGACACTCCATTCCTCTGCTGCACCAACACTCCATCCCTTCTCTCCCTTGCTTCTTCCCTCTTCCTCTTGGAGGAGTCATGGATACTTCATCCTCTCATTCTCCTACTCCTCTTGTATATATATTCACTCTGAGGCAACCTCTGCAGGGGCAGGAAAATATACTGCATCCTTTGGCTGCTGCACAGTGAGACAACAAGGCATCTTCCACCTAGGAGTGTGTGGCAATAGTGACTAGCATGCCGTCATCGCTGAAATCGCTGCTTCCGGGTGGGAAAGGTGATCATCTTTATCCTTTTGCACAGTGTGGTCCCATCTCTCTCCCCTAAGACCCCTCTAAAACATATGTTGCATACTTCTTCACAGATGACAAGAGGAGGACCCTAATGCACCAGGTCTCCACACTTGGGGAGAGGGTGTCGGAGTTGGAGAACAAAAATGCCCAGCTGCTTGACGAGAAGGGTAAAGTGGAGAAGCAATTGGAGGAGACAAAGCAGGAAGCTCAGGTCATCTCAAGGCAGAAAGAGGAGGTGGAGAGTAGCTTGAAGGGTCAAAATGAAATGCTTGGGTTGAAGGTTTTGAATGTGGAGGAAAAATATAATCATATGGTCGAGAAGCTCCAGATGGAATTATGTGCATTGGTGAAGGAAAAAGAAAAAATGATGATGGAGTCAGAGGATCTTAAGAGGAGGTTGGAGGAAATCCAGGCGAAGAAGGATTTGATGGAGAGTGAAAAGGATATGCTTCGGTCGGAGGCTATGATTACAAAGCAAAAACAGATCATGTTTGAAGCAGAGATTGAGAGGCTCAATATGGAATTGGTTGTATTGACGGAGGCGAAGAAGGCTGCTGCAAAGGCATGTGAAGCTCAAAATGATGAAATCATGAAGGAACTGGAGGATCTTAAGAGGAAGTTTGAGGAACTGCAAACAAATAAGGATTTAGTGCAAGCTAAAAATGATGAACTTCTGTCAAATGTTTTGGCAATAAAGGAGAAATATGGCCAGTCAGAAGCAGAGGTTAAGAAGCTCCAGATGGAATTAAGTGCATTGGTGATGGAAAAAGAGGTAGCTGTTAAGACATTTGATGACGAGAAAGACAAAATGATGATGGAATCAGCGGATCTTAAGAGGAGGTTGGAGGAAATCCAGGCCAATAAGGATTTGGTGGAGAGTGAAAATGATAGGCTTCGGTCGGAAGCTCTGATTACAAAGCAAAAACAAATCATGTTTGAAGCAAAGATTGAGACACTCAATATGGAATTGGTTGCATTGACGGAGGCGAAGGAGGCTGCTGCGAAGGCATGTGAAGCTCAAAATGATGAAATCACAAAGGAACTAGAGGATCTTAAGAGGAAGTTTGAGGAACTGCAAACAAATAAGGATTTAGTGGAAGGTGAAAATGATAAGCTTCAGTCAGAGGTTTTGGCAATAGAGGAGAAATATGGCCAGTCTGAAGCAAAAGTTAAGTGGCTTAATCAGATATTGAGAGTAGTGGTGGAGGCGAAGGATGCAGCTGCAAAGGCATGTGAAGCTGAGAAGGTAGAAATCTTGAAGGAATCAGGAAATCTTAAGAGGAGGGTAGAGGAAATTCTGGTTAACAAGGATTTGGTTGAGAGTGAAAATGACGTGCTTCGGTCAGATATTCTGACATTGAAGCAGAAATACAATCAATTTGAAGTAGAGGTTAAGAGCCTCAAGAATGAATTGGAAGCATTCGAGGAGGAGAAGGAGGTTACTGCAAAGGCGTTTAATGTTGAGAAGACAGAAATCCTAAAGGAATTGGAGGATCTAAAGATGAAGGTACTGGAAATCCAGGCCAAGAAGGATTTGGTGGAGAGTGAAAATAACGTGCTTCAGTTAGATATTGTGACAACGAAGCAGAAATATAATCAATTTGAAGTAGAGATTAAGAGCCTGAAGAATGAATTGAAAGCATTAGAGGAGGAAAAGGAGGTTACTGCAAAGGCGTTTAATGTTGAGAAGGCAGAAATCTTAAAGGAATTGGAGGATCTTAAGAGGAAGGTGCAGGAAATCCAGGCCAACAAGTATTTAGTGGAGGGTGAAAATGATAAACTTCGGTTGGATGTTTCTACTGCAGAACAGAAAGAAAGCATATCTGAAGCAGAGGTTAAGCGTCTCTGGAAGATATTGGATGCTTTGATGGAGGCAAAGGAGGTGACTACGAAGGCATTTGATGCTGAGAAAGAAAAAATCATGAAGGAATTGGAGGATCTTAAGAGGAAGGTGGAGGAAATCCAGGCTAGCAAGGATTTGGCGGAAAGTGAAAAGGATAAGCTTCGGATGGTAGAGGAAATCCAAGTTGGCAAGAAAGCGGCTGAGAAAGCCGTGCATGACAAGGATGCTGAGGCCCATAGGCTAAGAGACGAGTTGGTGAAGATCCGTGTTTCTTTATCAGAGTTGCAAGCATCATACAATGAACTTGATGCCAAGTATCCGTGCCTGAATGATGAGAAGAATTCAGTCTAGGAAGCTCTAGATGCAGAGAAGGTTGAAGCATGGAAGCTGAAGTCAAACGTTCAGGAACTTGAGAATTACAATCCTGAAAAGGATGGTGAGACTGAGAATTACAATGCAGCATAGGAGGAAAAGAAGAGTGAGATTGATGCCCTCATCAGGGACAACGAGCTGCTGCACTATGCAGTTGCTGAGGCATAAGAGAAGAATAAGGGTAGCATTTTATCATGCCTGTCACTACACGGCTTGAAGTAATTATGTTGGCAATGTGTCGCTTTACTAATGTAATGGTGATCAGTTGGTACTCAACAATAAAATAAAACTTTCACTTCCTTTGTGATATGTGATGTATCCGTGTTCTATTTAGTCATTTACTTTTTGTGACACTTCTGCATTGTTAACACTTTGGTAAAATGCCACGTTAACTATAATTACACAACAAAGGGATGGTCCTTTTAGCAATCTATCTATCAATCTATCTATCTATCTATCTATCTATCTATCTATACCTCTATACCTATACTAATTGGGCACTTCCTACGAGTTCTCATGTTAATTAGAAAGTTATGGCCGTTGATTAGGTCGAGCGTATCATCGTCACCATCGATCATGTAATTAAATAGCTTTTAAGTAATAGATCGATTCATCGACGTTGTGGGCCAGGTTAAGCCCATCTAATACGCCTCATTTACCTAACCACCGTACGTATCTCACGTACAATGTAACAAGTACTCCAGTAGGAGACCTATCCCAAAACTAAGACGGCGGCCAAGATGAACTCCTTCATAGCCTCTGGTGTGACGTGTCCATCAGGATCGGCGGCGATTATGTAGTTAACCGGAAGAAGTACGCACACAGAATCAGCTACACACGTAACACGTACACCTTGGCATCGATGGAGCGAGCTGGAGGCATGGACATGCATGGTAGCAGGTTAGCAGTGGCATATATATGCTATCAATTTAATTGAAGTTTAATTTCATGGGCTTGCTGCGCCTGCTCCAGCGTTGGAGCTTCGCGCATCTAAACATGTGTGTTGTGCTGCTCTGTGAATTCAAATGATGAGATTATTGGTCGGGTCAAACACAAATTTTATGATTTGCCAACCAGTAAATCTACTATTACGTTCACCAAAGTACGTATAGTTTCAATTAAAATTAAGCCATTGATTAACCCATATGTACTTCATGTCTGTTTTTTTTTTCAATTCGTTATATAGACTGATTCATGCAAATCTAAATCGAAATATGGAGATCAAGTAAGGCTCCGGTCAGTAGTGCGTCAATGAAGATGAAGTACAGGCATGCAAAACAAAAAAACCATTAGTGCATAATTACTTGATTTTTAATTATTTTTAACTTGAACAATAGATTTATGTATCTTTTATATTGTAAAGTATACTTCTATATAAACACTTTTCGCACGAATGCATCGTTAGTAGTTTAAAAAGCGGAAACCTAGCTAACATCTGTGATTAGAAACGAACGGATTTTAAATCTTATCTCTGTGCACCTAGGATTTCTTTAATTTTGACAGTGTTACAATGGATGTTTATTCGTATGCTTATATACTCTGAGTTCAGCAAACTTATATTTGTCATCTAAATTACAATTATTATTTGTATCAGTTCGTAATCGTTAGGAATAATACACAAATAAATGATGAATTAATAAGACTGGATTCACACTAGGTATACGTAATATTTTAACCCATCTTTCTACAATGATGGCATTTTGAACAAAACTTATATGATTGGAAAGTTTTGCTCTCAACACCATACAGTTTAGCTGCAAGTTATAATATGTCTTGCTATTTATAAATGTAGCCCATGCAGATATGATAACCGTAGATAAGTAGCCAGAATATGTGTCACATAAGACATCAAATTAAATATAACACGGACCCTTAGATTTTTAATTGTTTAAAATTAAATAATGCCAAATCAAAATTAATAAATACGAAGTCACACCAATCTTAATTTGATCAGTATTTTGCTAATTTTATTTTTAAATTTGAAACAATAATAGAAAATTAAAACCATCATAGGTATCTTCTATTATTTCAATAAAATAACTATCATATTTAGCTTACGGCTATTTTTTTATGATAACCCATGCATCGCGCGGGTTGCCGACTAGTACTTATACTAATTGGCCACTTTCTACGAGCTCCCGCATTAACTTGTAAAATCTGATCGTTAATTTTGATAGATCATATAATCTTAACCATTGATTATAAACTTTAATCGGCATTAACATTATGGGCCTCATGTAAAGCTCGTCCAATCAACTGCTTTAATTACAGGCCTAGCCAATCTATGTTTTGCCCACCACATATATCTCAACCTTTATTTGTTTTGCTCATCGTACGTACATTTAGGAGTCGTACAGTGTGGGGAACGCAGGAGTAGATCGATGGGGAGCACAGCATCACGAGATGTATCTAGGCACGTACAGCAAGGTGTAGCAGGCGGCAGATCGGCTGCAGTGTGCAGACCGGTCGAACCACACCACATCGGAAGCTGGTAGGTATTCCTCAAAGATTTAGGAACGTAATATGTAGCTTACATGTGCAATCTACATGTTAATTAGCTCTTGAGAAGATCTCATACAAATGCTAGGCAAGTGCGATCTGCTCGCAACACTCAGCTCAATTATGTGTATAAAAATTATATTCATATGCATGTGTTTTCAAACACGTTCACGTCAATATCTCTTTATATCTACCAAATTCATGTCTCATATGGTTCAACATTTATAGCATATTTTCAATTTTTTTATGAATTGTCATGTTTTGGTCGAAGTAATTTGACTTTGTCTTCAAAATTTATATTTTAAAATTATATAGTTCCAATATCTTATTATATTACGGCAATTGCTACTATTAGGTCAAATTATTAATTTGTAATTAGGTTTTGGAAGTATTAAATCAATATTGTGACCTTTGATTATATTAACAATAATATCATGACCATAGATTAATTTTAACCATGGATTTTTAAAGCCCAAAACTAATCTCACGTGTGGGTCACTGTCCAGTTTAGATTATAGGCTTCAAAGTTCATCATTGAGTACATTAGAATGCAGAGAGTAGATGGAGAGCGACAGACTCCATGTCTCTTCCTGCACGTGACGAGACGGCGTAACAAATGACGCACCCCATAACTCCACCATCTGCGCGCGCTGAGATGGCGCCTACGTCGATGGCCAAATTCACCCTGCACCCGATAATCAACCGAAAGTCCTAGCGCAGTTTCACTGGTTAGCTTCTCATCACGATGTAGGTTTTAAGTAAACTTCTTTCTGTTTTAGTTTAGATTAGAGTTTAATTAGATCTCATCAATTTTATCTGTTGTTTTTATGTTTCTTGGTAAAAATTGAACCTAGGCCATGTTTATAACTTATATTTCGAGTTTCACATAAAATGGAATAGAATTGGTGGAGTTATAGTGTTTTTCGTGCAAGGTCGATCAGTTTGCTGTTTTACCGGACATGCACAATGCCATAGTACGCGCGTGTACCGTAGCCTTCATGTTTCGGTGCTGTACCCAAGGTTTCATACTGTGCAGGGTGTCTTGGTTATTAGGGTGATTAATTTAGGGTTCCAGTATTATTAGAGTAACTTTATTATTATTTCTTTTTATTTTCGTTGTATGTTTGGTTTCGTGCTTTCAAACAATCTTTCAATCCAATCTGATCGACGCTATCCTAATCTTTTCATCGATGCCAACCAGACATATGCGCGAGTCGTCCAACTTCTGTAACCAGTACAAATCTGTCACTTGTCTGCTTGATATAGTCTCGCGTATATTCTGGTTCCAATCTTTCCCATGCTCTACAAATTTCGTCTATAGGTATAGCCCGTCGACACATATAGCAATATAATTTAGAAATAACTATTAGAATTGAAAAATAAGAAATATTAAAAGAAGAGTCCATCTAAAATACAACTTGAGATAAACTAAAATTTAAAATAAAAAAATTATTGCAATATGAATTGCAAAATAAACTAAATGTATAAAAAAATTTTAGAATAAAATATAATAATAAAAATAAATAAGTAAAAAATATGTATGAAGAAATGCTTGCCGCGTAGCCTGCGTAGGCCATATGCTATACTTGAACACAAAGATATAGATAGATAGATAGATAGATAGCAGGACATATAGATAGATAGGATTATAGACGTTATTGTGACCGAATCAGTAAACATCCACACAAAGAAATATTGCATTGGAGTCCGGCCAGAGGAGATGCTCCGTGACATGGCTTCACCGAGGCATGCTCTGTGCCGATTACTTGTGCCTGCTATTGGGATCTTCTTTGACTGCACGCTTTCGTCTTCAACCCTCGGCGCTTGTAGAAAATTCTGGACTCTAATTTGCATGCAAAACTAACAACACGCATACATATTTAACAGTGACCAAACCGAAAATCCAACAACAATTAGCTTTGGTAAATTACGCTTCATGTATATAATTAATCATCAAAACCGTATAGTTAACAGCCAAACAACTTTAAACCATTTGTTTTCCATTCAGCTAATTACTCAATTAATAACCGAATTAAACCTATATTTTAAATTTCGCTATCAACCCAAATTTTAAATTATATGAAAAATATTTTTAGTTTGCCTTTTTTTTAAGAAAAAGAGGGTACTACTAGTACAATACCTTGCAAGGTATATAATCCTTTCTGTCCTTTGAAATATTGCAGTGGAAGCAACAAGCATAGTTTGATCGAGTTGTATCACGGAACGGGAAAAAAATAAAAGAGAAGAAAGAAGAGGAGGCCAGAACCAAATTAAACCAATAGCAAAGCATCAATGCATTCGCGATTCCTTGCGAATGAAGTTGTCACATGCTGAGTTTTCCTATTTTTCCTTAGTCTCGAATTCATTAATAAATCAACCGGAGAAATTATTTAATTTAACCTGGAGCTAACATTAATTTACCAATGCAGTTAATAAGTGGAATTGGGATGGTGGAATTTTTCTTGAGTTCCTCAGGTTTAAATACACTCACAGAATTTTTAGTGGAATTTTTAGAGCAAACAAGGTAATTATAATGAATCCAAAGTAATTAACGGGATTAAATTTAATTAAAATTCCTTCCTCTCTCACCTTTGGCTGTGGGCCGGAAACGGCCCACACCTCTCCTTTCCCTTCCCCCGCGCGCCCCCTTTGCTGGGCCGGCCTGAAGCCGTGGCCCAGCTGTGTCTGCTCCCCTCGCTGGGACACCGATAGGTGGGGCCCACCTATCATGCCCGTCCCCGTCCTCGCGCCGCCACTGCCGCAACAGCCGCC